AAGCGGCTGGCAGGACTCCCTCACTCAGAGAAGCATTAACAATCCTCTGGAGCCAGCCTCGTGTAACCTCCCAGGAAACCTGTACCAACCAGGAGGGCCATGGGTCCAATAAACATGTGGTCGTGTTCAGCCGTCCCAGGATCCTGTCCACGTCCTCGGGAGCCACAGGATCAAACTCCTCCCAGATAACACTCTCAAGACCTGCCTCAGTCATCCTGTCCGGACTTACCCAGTCAGAGGCCAGGCCTTCCTGAATCTGAGTGATCTTGTCATACAGATACTGCACAAAATCCTCAGCTCAACCCTGCAAGGGATCATCCCGCGCTTCCAGATGGAGGAGGGAGCGGGTCACCCTAAACAGGGTGGCTGGGCAATTATCTGATGACGCACTATCCCAGGCAGCCACCAGGTCTTCAGCTGAGTCATGAGCTAGAGTCTCAGGAAATGGCCCAAGCTCCATCTGGAACCTATCAGGATCCATCAAGTGCCTGGGGCGGAACCACCTGGTCGGTCCCGCCTCCCTGCAGCGGGGTGCAGCGGTTAGAAAGTCCAATCGAAGGAGCGAGTAATCAAATCAAATCTTTATTATGGTCATAGACAAGCTTAAAGGTAAAGGTTCCCCTCGCACATATTGTATGTGCTAGTCGTTCCCGGCTCTAGGAGGCAGTGCTCATCTCTGTTTCAAAGCTGAAGAGCCAGTGCTGTCCAAAGATGTCTCCATGGTCATGTGACCAGCATGACTAAATGCCAAAGATGCACAGAACACTGTTACCTTCCCACCAAAGGTGGGCCCTATTTTTCTACTTGCATTTTTTTACATGTTTACGAACTGCTATGTTGGCAGAAACTGGGACAAGTAATGGGAGCTCACCCCATTACGCGGCACTAGGGATTCGAACCGCTCAACTGCCAACCATTCGATCGACAAGCTCAGTGTCTTAGCCACTGAGCTGCCGCATCCCTTATAGACAGGCTTAGGAAGGATAAAACACAAACAATAATTCTAAAAGCTACAAAAGAATATAACATACATAAGGTTAAAAAACAAATTATCTCTATATCTGTCTGTCTGTCTGTCTGTCTGTCTGTCTGTCTGTCTATCTATCTATCTATCTATCTATCTATCTATCTATCTATCTATCTATCACATATCTATCTAAACAAAAATATTTTGAAAAATCTAAAAACCCTATAGAGAAATCCAAGAGTACCTCTTTGATTCACTGGTAATAAATGTTGGACACCCAGCTAGGTTCAATTGGCCCATGTGTCTGCTATACGCTGTTTTGGCTTGGTCATATCCAATGCTGAGTAGAAAACCTGGAGAGAAACCCAAGGATATTTTAGTTGCCACCGCCTTCTTCCATGTGAACTGAAAGTCATTATTCATAGATAGTGGGCCTTAAGCAAATTTATTAATTTACTACCTACAAAGTATTTTTAAAAATGGGAATAGTTTTAGGAGGGTACCATCCATAATTCCCAAAGCCCTTATTCCTAATGTGCCATTGTATTTTAGTCCAGTGTACTAAACATAGAAGCTTTTAACATATACCTTTTTAACCTCTTCAGACTAAGTCAGAGGGCAAGATTTTAGCAGTTGTAGAAAGCATGGAAATTGAGCAATAATGAAACCAGTAATTAATAATCTCTTAACAAAATTGTGATACTTGTATAATCTGGGATGGTTGCCAATCTGTGATAATAAGGAGACTGAAGAATCTTTTCTGGGAAATGATTATTTGTATTAAAGAAGTGAGCATACACACTAAAAATATTGTTTTTTCTTTATAACATTAAATTCTTGTATAGCCACTTTGATAAATAAAAGGAAGCAGTAATGATCTTTGGCTATGTAGCTATCCTATTTTATCAAAATGAAGTCCCATTAATAACTGCCAGGTGTTTAGCACGTCCTGCTTTAAGTTAGTTCTAGGCTCATGAGAGAACATTTTTCATGCTAATTAATTCTACAAGCAACATTAATCTCTTTTGACCAAGGTAATTTCTAAGTATTTGGAAATAGATTTCTAACATACCTTTCACCTATAGTTAGCTGATCATTTCAGTGATGTATTCTATGGGACAGCAAAAAAAAAAAAAGAAAAAAGCAGAAAGATAGATAGGGAGGTCTTCTGAGGAGATGACAAGAAAGTAATGGCAGAAAAATAATACAGCAATTGCCTAATCACCCTAAATTGGTTGGTCTAGAGCCAAATAAATCATTTACAATCTGATATTTGGATGGCTTCGGTATCTCTCTTTATTAATTCCTTAAAGAAAATTTTATCAACCTTTAATAAAATCAGTTAAACAGAACCATGTACTTCTATAATTATCTCAGAACACAATCACAAAAGCCAGCTCTGCGGAGAGATCAATACTGTTTGAGTCCCTGAAATTATGAGATGATCTTAATAATGGCCAAATTGATATTACATCATAGGTCTTCTTGATATTTTGGATCCTAAAATGTATGAGGTACATTGCAGAAATTGACAGGACAAATAATTGTAGCTGATTTCATCTTTAAGGCAGAAATTTCAAAAGATAATGGTGATAACTCCCATCTCCTCTTCTTTTGTACAGAGCTGAAAGATTTGCGCAAGGAAAGTACATGTGCATAGACATGCACAAACATATGCATTACATACCTGTTTAACATAGTAAATAAATGAGATGTTAAGTGGGATGAAATAGTGTTAAGAAACAATTTTCTGAGAATGATAGTAGTGGCTTCTTAAGAGAAAGTAAAGACCGTTCATACCACTTCATGCCACTTCCTGAAATAACTGAAGAGTTGACCTAATGCCTTTCAGCGCTTAAGTCTTCTATTGTCACAGAATCAATATCCTTTGGGACCTTGTAAGAATGTCACCGGTGCATATAAATGACTTTCTATTTCTTGAAATAAGGTATTCACATAGTTCACATTGGATTTTGTCTTTAAAAAAATCAAATCAAAGCTTTAAAGAAGCAATAAATGTTTAATGATAGCATTGGATGCTATTATTAAAACACCAGAAAATTCTTGACTATACAAAAGTAACCGCTTGCAACTAAAAAAGGTGTTTTTATTTAGTGATTCTGAAACAACAGATGTAGCAGAAAAGAGGGAATTGACAGCCACAGGGAACTGAAGCTCATAGAGCAGATACAGAGGAAACAACTGGAGTTGATGGCAGTCTTCCACCCACACCACCCTTGCTGTCAGTTTGCCTCAACTGAAGCCCTGTGGGAGAAGGTAGAGAACTGCATCTATAGCAAACAAGAGCTTATTTTAGATTCATTGAGCCTATGGCTTCTTGGATGATATCTACTAACCAAGATTATAATTAGTGTTAAAGAAGATAGTGAATACAGATACAAGTGCAGTAGTTTTTATGTGTGAAAAATGCTATACATGATATTTGGGCATATCTTAAAGAAATATTGCATGTTGGGGATCATCAGTCCTAATTCAGTCCTAATTCAGTCACACAGAAAGAAACTATATTTTTAAAAGGATCCTGTTTAATAGATACAATTATAGAAAAAGCTTTAGTAATTGTAGTAACTCAGGAACTGTAGTATTTTATACTTTACTACTACCTCATCTGAGCATCCTTTAAAACAGGGGTGTCAAACTCATGTTGTCATGGTGGTGTTGTATTGGGACTTCCCCCCCCCCCCCTTCGCTAAACCAGATGTGGGCCAGGGGTGGATTCTACTTACCTTTACTCTACTTACCTCAACTGATGACATCGGGGTCGGTGGGCGGAGCCTCCTGCCGGTTTTACTACCAGTTCTATAGAACCGGTCTGAACTGAGGGCAACCCATCACTGATGTGGGCAGCGCATGATGCATCCGGCTCGTGGGCCATGAGTTTGACAGCCCTGTTTTAAAATGTTACTATATGCTTCAAAAAATTAACCACTTGCTTTACATTTGAGGTGACAAAAAATCAAACTAATGGTTAAGAAATGCAAGTACTCAATAAATTCAGCCTAGAAATGAGATTTTATGTGGAAAAGTTTTCATTTCTTAAGATGAATTTTGTCCACTAATTTTTCTTGCTTTTCTAGCATTTCCTATAAGAATAGATATACAACTTTTCATTTGTTTTTTGTTTGTCAACCTAACTCACAATAATTTTCACAAGCTCAAATTTATGATAAAAATCAGGTTTGCAGCTTCATGCAAGCCCCTGGAATGATAGAGGTTAAAAATGGTGATGACTGCAGGCATTTTAGCTGATGGCCTATTAACTATATAGTTCCCTGGAAAAATTGAAGTTGACCTCATCTATCTATCCAACCAACTTAACTTCCATGCTAAATTACACAAAGAACTATGTAAGGGAGAGACTTTAAACTTTGCTTGTCAAAGCCAAGCCCTCAAGTGGGAGCTTGCATCTTTTATAGTATTCCAGTACAATTAGCTTGACGCTGTTTCTGATTTCTAAAGCCCTTGGTGTTTAACAGCTCATCTGAAAAAAAATGATTAGTTCATATCTGAATCTGTTATTGAGATATGCTTCGAAGGCCTTATTTTAAATCTCCTGATATTAGATGCATGAGGGGTAAAAGAGGGGGGGGGTTGTCAATTTTTGTTCCTGAGAGAGAGTTTTATTTAGCTCTATTGTTTTTGAAAAACAGCCAGAACTGTTTCAGATGAATTTTTATTTTAAAGTGTTGCTTTTTGTTAGGATCTGACTCTAACTCCTTCCTTGGTTCAGAGGCTGGGATAGGTTCAAAGTAATAAAGATATATTAGATTATTGGTTTTGATTATCTGGTTTTGACTGCAATATAATTAGTTGTCTTGAGCATAACTGACAGAAAACAAGAATATAAATAATACTAACAAGCACATGAAATCTATAAATAGACCTGATGAGTTCTTGGTTTAGACATTATTTTCCTGCATTCTGTAGGTATGTATTCAGCTGTTCCTTTTGAACTAAAATTTGAAGCATGGTTTTAGCAATGATATTTTTCTTTCTTTGTGTATCATTTCAGGTGGGATGGTGGAAGGACAAACGCCTCAAGATGAAGTATTATGTGTGGCCACGTTCTGAGCTATATCCAAACTGTGAGGAACGTGAGGATGACCATCTTAGCATAGTGACCCTTGAAGAAGCACCTTTTGTTATTGTGGAAAATGTGGACCCATTAAGTGGCACCTGTATGAGGAACACAGTTCCATGTCAAAAACGAATTGTATCAGAGTAGGTACCAACAAAACTTTTTGTAATTATTTCTTTTCAGCATGTTTCTTCCTGCAACAATGACAATAGTGCTACAGAGGAGTCATGTTTAATTCATTTTATCTCACTCCATTCTGGAGCATTATCTGTATCAAGTGGGCTTTTCAGTGGTGGGTATTTTATTTATTTATTTATAATAGATTTATATGGCTCTTTATCTTGTAAACATGATTCTGGGTGGCTAACAATGTTTAAAAAAACCTGTACAAAGCAAAAATAACATAAAAAGAATTAGAACCAAACACAATGGGGCATAAAATGGCAACCAAGGAAATTAATAAAACCACATTTCTTGGTCTCTCCTGATCTCCCAGCCCTCATGGCTGGGAAAATAGCCAGGTTTTAAGGGTTTTCTGAAAGTCCAGCAGGGTCAGAGCCAGCTTTAATTTAAATGGTACGGTACTATATTTAAACTGGGAATTAAAAAGTGAAGTTTTACTTAGTTTTGAGTGTCAGAATAAATCTAATTTCATTACACCAATATCCTTGCATGATATTTTTATGTGGAATTTTCTAGGGCTATGTTTTAATTAATTTATTTTGTTTGTGTGCTGCTTATTTTTCAAGAGTCTGGAAAGGAACCAACCTTTTTTCTTATATAGCTCTGCCTTTGGCTTCCACCGCTCAGTTCTCTTTTGGTCATTATAGTGATAACATTTCCAAAATATCCAGAGTGTTTCCTGAGTCAACTCTGCTATGCAGTATTCTATTTATTTTATTTTATTTTTATTTACTTATCTGGCACTTGTGTTATTTTACTGCTAATTTAGCTGTATGATGCTTAAGGCGGGATTATCAGGTTTGATAACTGATTCCCTCTCATTTTTGTCTTCTTTTGAACCCTCCTCCACCCTGATGTTGATAAATGTAGATGAAAGAGGGAATGGCTTTGAAGGCAGGAGGAAGAAACACTACAAAAGGCAATGGTTAGCTAAAGGGGCCCTGATCCTGGGCCAAGAACATAATGTGAGCGTCCATCTCAGACAAGCCCCTCCATTGCATTTTATCTTAAATATTTTTGTTCTGTAGAATCCACATCTATTTCTATGATAACTCAAGGCAGGAATTGTCATTATTGATGCAATAGTTTTCCAAATAGGCTATGATTCTGATCCTGCTGTGCTATGTTATGCTATGCTATCAGGATCCTGTATTCAGAAGCATCAACTTTCACTCAATGTGCACTGTCCACAGTTCTGCTATGGCCTCACGATACATTTCAAGTTGTTTTAGTGCACCCTTCCACTTTTATTAAGTATTAGAGGCTTGATTTTCAGTGCAATAATATGTAGCTTTTAGAAGAGCATGCATACCTTCACTGGCTCTCTGATCATTAGTTCCCATCATCAGATAACTTGTTACTCACTTATATTTGTAATTTATATGTATCCCAGTAAAGAAGAACTGGTTATTGATCAGTATCAGTAAGAAAGAGATCATTCTTTATTGTTCCCAGAAAGAAACTCCATTAGAATTTCTTTGATGGCCATCGGTGAATTCATAGAACCCTTTGATTTTTTCTCTTACATAGTTTTTTTCCCCTTATCTCTTCTTTTCCAAAGCTGATCTACCAGTATTTGGAAATCAGGAGAAAGTTGAAGCCAGACCTAGCATATAAAGGAAAGGAGGGAATCCTACCCAAACTCTTATCTTTTAAAAGTTCTGTGTTTGCTTACTATGCATGCTCATGTGTAAATTCTGAGATAGTTCTTTAAGTAAACTAAATATTCAATTCTCAATCACATTTTGACAAGAATTTGCTTAAAGAAAAATCATATTTGTTTTTTCAATATTTCTACTAAAGTTGTTTAGCTTTTGCTATCTTTGAAAGCTAGATTTAGATTTCAGTTTAGAATCAAGAGTGGGAATGCTTTTAAAAATTATGTGGTATTCATCAAAATAACATTTTTTAAAAAGTTTTAATACAACATGATGCCAACCATGGACCAATGTCTTTTTGTTTATAGATATAGCATATTTTTATTCTGTAAAAATATATCTTTGTTGCCTTTGTCTAGAAACAAAACAGATGAAGAGACTGCCTATATCAAGAAATGTTGCAAAGGGTTTTGTATTGATATTCTTAAAAAAATTTCCAAGTTTGTGAAGTTCACCTATGATCTTTATTTGGTAACCAATGGTAAACATGGAAAGAAGGTCAATGGAACATGGAATGGAATGATTGGTGAGGTAAGCCAAGACAGACTGAAGTTTTATCTCATCACAAGGTTTTCACAAAACTGAGTGCACATGCATGCACACACATACAGACACATAACACACACACATATCACTGAACTGCAATTTGGTTTTATCATGCCCATACTTGGCTAGGGCTGCTGACAATTCAACAAAATCTGGAAGTCCGCAGATTTCCATCCCTGCTTTACACAATTGTAAAAAGTTAAAAAAAGGAAAACTGCAAATAAAAGAAAGAATGTTCCAAATATGTACATTAATTCTTGAACCACATACTTTCCTTTGGTTCCATTTGTTTTGTTTTGTTTTGTTTTGTTTTGTTTTGTTTTGTTTTGTTTTGTTAAATTTACATACCCCCTTTCCTTCAGGTGCTCAAGGTAGTATATGCAAACACTCCACCCTCCAAGTTGTTCCTCTGTTGTGTGTTAGGTTGAGTGGAGAGAAAGTGCCTGGTTAAGTGAGCTTCCAAGGCTGAAGTGGACCTGAATTTTGATCTCCCTGGTCCTATTAGTTGCTATATTACATCGACTAACTCTAATATAATGAGATATTTCTCATTTGATATCTTTTTATTTTCATTCCTCAGAATATATTGTCACTTTTTTCCTTGCATTCTCTCTCCTGTCATTAAAATCATGGTTTAAATCGGAAACTTATTTTATTGCATACTTTATATTTATCTAGACCAGTTATATAGATACTGATTAATATGTGTCTATCCATTGTGTTTCATATGTGCTTACACACTCAACTTACTATCATGAATATTGGTATTACACGTTTAAAACTTTCCATTATTCTTAAAGGATTTTCAGTCCCTTATTCTACTATTATGGGAAGCAGAGAAGTGATGAAGAACAGAAAAGATGCAGCCTGCATGTCAAAAATAACATTTGTTCTTTCCCCTCATCCTAGGTGGTTGCCAAACGTGCCTACATGGCTGTGGGATCCCTCACCATAAATGCAGAGCGTTCGGAAGTGGTAGATTTTTCTGTTCCCTTCATTGAGACAGGAATCAGTGTAATGGTGTCACGAAGCAATGGGACTGTCTCACCTTCTGCCTTTTTAGGTAAAGCATTCTTTGGAGGCAACGTGCAGAGAAAAACATGTTGGCAGCTCTTTTTCTGATTAAATAAACGAGCATACATTTATATGCAGTCTTGGATTTGTTGAAGTTCTAGCTTGAGCTAAATTCAGGAAACAACACCCGATAAGAGAATAAGAAATTAACTTAGAAATACAAGCACCAGATTCTCAAACTAGATATTTCTAGTGAATATCATTGTATAATTACCGGTATATTCAAATAAATGTTTTCAGTTTTTCTTTTACCTGTACTTCCTTAAGCCTGGTAATGCTTGTTACAGTAAGATTCCTAACTGTTTTGATGCTAGCCCCATGCAGAAATATTACTTTGTCTTGTATGTAAAGAAATGCAGGAATTTATTTCTGGAATATAACAGTCTATTTTGGGGATTTATAAAACCTATTTTGGCAAAGCCCTCAAAGCAAAACACAATGATATAGTAATAAATGTTTTTTTTTTTAAGTTTCTCAACTGTCTTTGGGAATTCAGCAGCATGCAAATCTCTTAAATAAATAAGAGTAAATATATCATCAAAATAATTTAGATAATCCCTACAAATGTTGCATATTATAGCATTATAAAGGATCTATTAATTATGTCAATCTTTGTTAGACTCTGGAATTATGCATGGAAAAACCCTAAGCTATCCCCCTGGTGATAGGAACTCCATAATCGAGATACAACCAAATTGAAAGTCTTGTCCTAAGCAGTTGTCACTATACATTAGACAATGGTGGAATTTAAAGTAGAATTCACTCTGCAAGTTTCAGCACATAAACAATAGAATATGGTATTTTGAGGAGTCAATCCTCAAAATACTCAGAACTTAAATATTATAACCAGTAAACTTAAACTTTAAACTTAATTTGGAAATACTCTAGAAGTATTGAATTTAATTTGGAAATACTCTAGAAGTATCATGAACAGCCATGAAATCACAATTTCTATATAAGAGGCCTGTTAGCAGTGACAACAGCATTCCAAGCACTTTTCAAAAGCAGCCCAGAACAGCACATTCAGATAGAGCAGAGATGGGCCATTCTTTGATTGCCAGAAGTCACACTTGACATTTTAGATGAGATAGAATTTTCTAGTCATAGATATTTAGATTTTTTTTTAAAGGGTAAGGTTTGGAGCTATATTAAGACTAGGTTCCTTATATTCTCAGTCTTTGCAATAATTTTGCAAAAAAGGGTAGACATATCAAATTATATCTATATTTGTATGTGTATCTATCTATCTCTATCTATCTATCTATCTATCTATCTATCTATCTATCTACAACTCTCTCTCTCTTTTGATATATTCACGCACATACACACACACATATTGATATTGATATATTGATATATATTACTAATAATCTATTGTCATATATCTTACATATATATGACAATAGACCATTATGCTTTTTCTTTAAAAATGGTGCATTTGCTTCACTAACTAAATCTAATCAAAGATGCTTCCATTTACTGCTTTCTACTGGACCACGTAGAATTCAGTCCAAATCTAACAACATCCTGATACTCTGAAGCTTATTCTTTGGAAACAGAGCTATTTGTTTCAAAAATAGGTCACATCATTAATCATTGGTAGACTTTTCTATTGATCAATATTTCAGTTTTATCTTGATAAAAGTTTCAATGTTTTAACATTTCACCTATCCCAATTTCCCAAATATTGATTTAAAAGTTCTGCTGCCTTCTAGGGATTAGATAGAAAGGGAAACATAATTATATATCAAGATATTTATTGTGAGAAATCCAGAGACTTATTCCAAATCTATAAACCAAAAGCAAGCAGGAAAAAAATCACTTTTTGGTATGTAGGAGTAGAATAACATATATGTTCCCAGACCCAGCCAGAATGGCAAATTCAGAATGCTAGTGTGATTAATGACATTGAAAACTGCTAAGATTATCAATAAGATATATTCCTCTATGTTCCACAGACTTTTACTTGTGCTTATGTTTCTTTGGATCCTTTGTCTACTACTGCATTTAATTTTGTTAAAGACACAAAATTGGAGATTGGAAGAAAAAAAACACGACAACCCTGTGATTGAGTAGGTCTTTGTGATTAAGGCAATGTTCAGGCAGGATGCCGAGAATGCTGCAGTTTGGGAAAGTCAGATGGCAGAATGTAATACTGAGTGGATACTTTTGCTTCCTACACATTTCAGCATTCATTTTTATAAAAGCCAACTTCAAATTCTTATGGGGAAGAAATACTTGAAAACATACAGAGGTGATGCTAAATGTATATATGTTAAAATATAGCTTAATGGGGCTTTGGTGCCATTAATGATCGCTCCCTCTTTCCCATATCTAGGAGTTCTAGAGTAATGTAACAGATGAGGGTGGAGGTTCATTCTCCGAGCTTGTGGGTTGGTTTCCTAATGTTTTGTTACCAGGCTAGGTAATATCCTAGGGCACTAAACTCCATTGAAGATGTTACCTAGCCTGGTAACAGAATGTTTGGAAACCAACCCACAAGCTCAGAGAATGAATCTGCCACCCTCATCCTACACCTGACCTACAGATATTTGCCACCATCGCATAATGTAACAGAAATATAAGAAGACCAACTCAACATTGTTTAGTCACTGTGAGGTTTGGTTCACAACATTTTAAATGATATATAAGATCCATCTATAAGTTTAGTCAAGCTATTTCAGAAGATATAATTAGATGTCTAGTGGTTTGCACTCTGGAGTATGCTGGGAAGCTTCCTGCGAAATAATTACCTGTCCTTTTCTGTCCAGAGCCATTCAGTGCTGATGTGTGGGTGATGATGTTTGTAATGCTGCTTATAATCTCTGCGGTGGCTGTCTTTGTCTTTGAGTACTTCAGCCCTGTGGGATACAATCGGTGTCTGGCTGATGGCAGAGGTAAGGAGATACATCTTTTATCATGCAATCTTTATAATCCATAATGGATGGAAAGATACTTCTCCACTGATATACATGTCAACCATGGTTGGTGTCAACTCTAGTGACCACATAAATAGATATTCTTCAGGAATCAGCCATGTACAGACCTTTTCCCACATGCCTAAAGAAAAAGAAAAAAGAAAAGAATAATAAGTCCACAAACAGCAGCAAATCTGAATGGATCTCTGCAGCACAAGATACTGAAATGTTCATTTCTAACAAGATTAGAAACTAGAAGCCAAATCCTTTGCATATCTTTTGCAATGTTTCTGAAGTAAAGTTATTATTGTCAAATTGAAATATTAATTTAGTTGGAGATACTAACAAGTATATAACATTGTCCTGTTTTGTTATGCGTATTATTTGTATCCCTAATTACTTGATGGATATTTGAAAGCTTTTATTAGTTTCCCTGCCTGTCTTCTGCTAATCTTTCCATGTATTTTCAAACTGATGCAGAAATGGAATGAAATAAATTCAAAAGATGAAAAACCAGAAATTACGGAAACTCTGTAATAGTGGGGAAGGGGAAAAGTAAAAATGAAAGGAGCAAGACTGACCAGTTGATTTATGATTGGAGAACTAAGATAGATACTAGATCAGATGAACAGAAGTGGGTGCTACCGTGGCTTCGCTAAACTATTAAATGGTCCCCTCCTTAGTATGTTCTGTTTTATCTCTAGGACAATAGTGCTAACATATTTAGAAAGGAATGTTTCTGGAACATCTTTTCAGATGCTTGTTGAGTTTGCCATAAGCAGATTTATGTCACCAGTTTTCTACATCTTGAAAAAAAAAAGACAGTTGTAATAGAATTTTAGCCAAATCCTAAAATAAAGCAATGTTAGAGGTGTTGTGGATTGTGTGTGTGACCAGTATACATATCTAAAATGATGTATGTAGAGCTGTACATATTAATGTACACAGTACTGGTATGTATACACAAGGAATCAATTATGTGGAGGATAGATAGCAGAATGAATAAGTAAACATTGATAACATATTTTGACTAAATGATGCCTCCCTATAAAGGAATTGGTAATGTAATTATTTTTGTGAGAAAAATGCTTTGAATAAGACTTTTGTGGATATGATGGATATGTTAATATGATGCTGTGTATTTCTTGATAGAAAACAATGTGTTTAAGATTATTCTTGTGTTATATAAGTGTCTATATAATATTGTCACTAAAGCCCAATGGAGATCACGTCCAGGTTGTTCAGCAAGGCATTGAAAGGCACAGCAAGTACACTATGCCTCTGTGCATGGCTTTCATTGACTACGAAAAGGCGTTTGACTCAATATTCCAGCAAGCAATAATTAATGCATTGCTCAACCAAGGCATAGACACTGCTTACATAGACTTACTACAATCAATATATAAAAAAACAATGGTGATAATTTGCCTTAATGATTTTAAAGTGGAAATCAACATAGAACAAGGTGTACGACAAGGCGATACAATATCACCTATCCTTTTCGCAGCCTGCCTTGAAGAAGTATTATGCACACTAGGCTGGGCAAAAGATAGGACAAAAATCAATGGCACCTATTTAAATCACCTAAGTTTTGCAGATGATGTTATTCTCTTCTCACAAGACCCAGAAGAACTAAAAGACACATATAAGAGCTGCATGAAGCAGGAGAACCGTTTGGCTTAAAAATAACCCTGAAAAAGAGCCAGGTTATGTTTAATAAATTCAGTAAAGAAAGAAAATAATTTATATCTGGAGAAGAACTAGACATAGTAGACCACTACATATACCTTGGCCAAAGCATCTCAATGGAAGATGATACAATAAAGGAAATTGAATGCCGTGTTAAATGTGGTTGGCAGGCATTCAGCAAGCTAAGCATAATTTTCAAAAACAACCTTCCCCTATGCCTGAAGAGAAAAGCTTGTGATCAGTGTGTGCTATCTGTTCTAACATATGCCAGTGAAACATGGACACTAACCTCACAATTGATACAGAAGTTATAAGAGGCACATGGAAAAATACATGTTTGGCATTATAAGACAAGATAGAAAGATCTGCACGTGGATTAGAGAACAAACAAAAGTATACAATATCAAGAGAGTAAAAGAATTGAAATGGAAATGGACTGGTCGCATAGCAAGAACTGATGGCAGATGGACCAGGTCATAGAATGGATCCCACTTGATAAAAAGCATCCACGAAAGTGACCTAAAACAAGATGGATCGATGATATTGCGGGCCCAATTGGTAAAAGAAAGCTCAGGACCATATTGGTTGGAAACATGCGGAAGGGGTCTTCATCCTGCAGTGGATAGACAATGGCTAAAATAATGATGATGATATAATATTATAAATATTCTATTCTTAATATAATTACTAATTTCCATTTATTTTTAGGTTGCAATTAGGTAAATGTTCCTACAATTTCCTCAGAAATAATTGCTCCAGCAATGTCCCATAGGTGGACTTTCTTGTTTTTTCTTTTGAAGACGTTTCGTTTTTCATCCAAAAAGCTTCTTCAGCTCTGACAGGATAGTGGGGAATGGAAGAATGGAAAACAAGAAAGTCCAGTTGCCTCTTGAAAAAGCACCTTTGGTACAACCATGACCTGGATGATTGAGAATCTCTACAGATTTTTTGCTCCAGCAATGGTTTAGTGGTTTATTTCAAAATAATACATTTGAAGATTCTGTGAAACTTCCATCCATTCCCTTGTAATCCTATATAGCAAAATTTTTGAGGAATTTATTCTCTGTGCATTCCAAAAAAACATATTTGGACTGCACTCCTTACGTAATGTGCTCACTGAAATAATGTTATCCTTTAGATTTTTAATTTCTCTAAATGTTGCACTGCAGTTATGGCAAAAGCAAATAAGCGTGTCAAAAACCTGATGGTAACTTTTTTTTAATTCTTTGTGATAAAATGTTTATAAATATTTATTTTTGAAGGAAGGTAGTTGCATAAATATGCTATGTTGTGAGAAAATGTATTCCAAATCTCAAATTTAATTTTTTGTCCATATTAAAATTTTTGCACAGTAAGGTAGAAGTGGAACACAATAAACTAACAAATGAAGAAATGTGGGAAACCCATAAAAACAAGCAATCCATAGCTGGCAATTGGTCATGAAACACTTATTATCAGCATCTGATAATTGTTTAAAAAGCTTTAGCAGCAAGGTAGACCGTAGTGTGATCATTTGTTTTTTAAAATAAATATGCATTCAGAATCCTAGTCATGCTTCTATCATCACAATCCCAACACACAGGCTTTTATTTTTTTAAAAAAAAAATGCTGATAGCACATGGGAATTCTATACTACATAACTCTGAAGTAATGCACAATTTTCAATAGTGTTTTGATGTAATAAACAAGTATGAAGTTTACAATTTTGCAGTATCTCTTTCTTTTAAATGGCCCACACTTGCATATTCAGATTTTAAAAATGCAAATTACAAGCCGCTATAAATTAATTTGTATGCAAAAATAAATGTTGATGAAAAACCTCACTGTTGAATTTTCAAAAAGCCATGAAATGCAAAATGAATGTTTCTCATAATAACATCTCATCTGAATTGCATATAGAGAAGCCAGATTTGTCATTAGATACATTCATTCAGTTCTTATTGAAAGTCAGTCCAAGTTGCTGCATGTATTAATAGTATGGTTAATAGACACTAGGGAATTGGTTCAACTAAGTTCTGTACAAATGCAGAAAGAGGAAAACTGTGACTGAAGAAAATCTTTCTTGCACAGCCATTCCTTTTCCTCTTGAATAAGTATAAAACTATGTGGACTTGGTAAAAAAAAATCATTATATGAAATGATACAAGAATATATAAGAAGATTCAAGATTAGTAGGCAAGCAGCAAGCAAAAAGACCACCAACTGCCTTGACAGAACTTACAGTTGAGGGCAACAGAACAAAGAAAAGTAGAATGTGGTTGCCTAGTTACAAAGAGAACATTCCAGCACTTCTCCCATCACAAAACCCTTCATATAAATGTAATCCCAGTAACAATTTATATACTTGAAATTGACGACATTGTTTTTATCTTGTAGTTCATTGGAAGGATAATGCTGACTCAAATCATAATGACATTGTAGATGCCAATTTTTTTTAAAAAAAGAATATTTTTTCTATGTGTATGTGTATTCCATGTATGTGTATATCTCCATAGTCATTACAGAATCTGTATAATTTTGAAATCATATTTCCTCATGGGAGTGTTTCTAAATATCTCAGAAAAATACTATGAAAATATATCTGTCTCTGTGTTACAATGAAAAGTGCTAAGAGTAGCATAGCATATTTGCACATGTGCACTTGCACATACTGTAAATCCTTGCCTAACAATTGTTGTTGGAATGTAGTTTTTCAGGGTGTATAATAATGCCTATCAATACAAAGCAAACAAAGTGATATTTTTGTTCTGTTCTTTGTTCTTTGTATCCTTTTGGGTACTCATAATAAATAGCATTTATCTTTCCAACCGTCCAGGGTTTGATGATTAGGATGTTAGTGACTGGGTTATCCAATAAGCCTCTCAGTCCAAATTCTTAACTCCAAGTTAATGTTTCTATTCACTAATTTCTTTTGAATGACCTACCCAACTTTTCTCAAGGCAACTATTCCATTTTAGAATTGTCACATTTCCAACTACAAGATCTTGTGTATGCAAAATGTGTTTTCTTTATTTATAAATGTGAATAATGTATGAAAGATGTCTCTTAATAATTGAGAAAATATGTTAGTTCAGCTTTCCCATCTGATACACTCAGATATATCAAGTCTCCAACAGCCAGATTTCTAGTTAATTTGGCCATCAGTCATGTTGGTTGTGAAAGTTTTAGATCCAGCATATTTCTAGGCACCAGGTTACAGAAGTTTGACAACGATTGATGGAGAAGAGTTGTAAAAAGGAATATACACACCTGCTTTATGCAATGTATTCATTTATGTAGATGTTACAATATACAAGCACTTAAAGGAGAATATTTGTAACTCAGGGTTGAAATGAAGGTCCTTGGTGCCTTCTGAGCTTGGGGTTGTTGTTTTTTTGCAGACATTTCATTACCCAAAATAGGTAACATGTTGTTACATAGTTTGGGTAATGAAAGTTTGCAAGAAAACAACCAAGCTCAGAGATCACCAAGGACTGCTCACAAACTCTTAAACATGCACATGGAATGATTTACGAAGGTCTGCCATTTATGAATGGTTTCCTAATGAGTATAGCTAGAGCAAACTGCTGATTTCAATTTAAATCATATTTAATCCTGAGATTTCATTTCTGTGCCCACATTCAAGAATAGGTTTATGGAGGACCAATGCAGCATCATTTAAACTAGAGTTGACTTTTATCACAGTCTTATCACAGTCTTAGCCAACAGCATGACATCTGGAATTGGATAAAGCTAAAATTACATTTCATTCATTACTTAGAATAATTTGTTGTGCTAGTTCTCACTCTTTCTACTATATTTTGCTTGTTTCAGAGCCTGGTGGTCCATCTTTCACTATTGGTAAAGCTATCTGGCTACTGTGGGGCCTTGTATTCAACAACTCTGTGCCAGTACAGAATCCCAAAGGGACTACTAGCAAGATCATGGTATCAGTATGGGCCTTCTTTGCTGTCATCTTTTTGGCCAGTTACACTGCCAATTTGGCTGCCTTTATGATCCAAGAAGAATATGTTGACCAGGTGTCTGGACTGAGTGACAGAAAGGTAATCCTCCTGCCCCTCTCCAAGCCTTTTGTTTTTCGTCTACTTAAATTGGCATACACTGTAACAATGATAACATATAGTATGAATGATATGTTATAATAATTAACATATTATGGAAATTGTGCAGTAAATGTTTCTTATTACCTATGAGCTATGGGACTGTGATCCTCTAACAGCATCTTTCTCAAACAGAAAGAAGAACTTTGGAAGAATCACAAACTATTTGTTGAGATCTTCCATAGTAACAGATATTACACCTATCCTATTTTAATTAATAGATAATCAAAGTGATTAATCCATTTACATATAGTACATGAAGTAGTAATATAAGGAGCTACATTTCAAGTTTTTCACAGAATTTTCAGATTCAACTTTTCTTCATTTTAATGTTCTTGCACTCTCTACTGACAACTGACTTGTTGTAAAGCTATGAATCTTTAGTTATCAATGTGTGAAAAAATCCTGCCTTTTCTCCTAACACTTAATTAAAAGTGGAACTGCTTAAAAATATAGATAAAGCTGCAGAATGTGTTTTCCCCCTATTCACTGATTTTCCCCCTATTGATTATCAATTCTCCTATAATTTCCTATAAGAGAAATATTTTAAAACATGGTAGATTGACTCTTAAGCAAGTATAGGAACAGGATGAGGAGACGAAAGCAATGCATTTCTTTTCCACAGTATAAGTAGGTTATAAAAGATAAGTGCCATGTAGGTTTAAAAATGAATTCCCATAATTTTCTTAACCTTTTTCTCTTGCATGAAATGAGATAAATTTCAGTTTCATTTTAGTTTGGTCAAATATCAGCATAAAAACTAGAATCAATCAAACAACAATATCATAAAGAAAATGCCAATTTTGATGATTTTCTTTGTATGGGTGTGTGGCATTCTAATATTATTAATAATATTAAGCTAAAAATATCTAAAACTTGATCAAAGAATAATCTAAAAACTAAGAATAAAATTATGGTGTTTGAAATGAAAATTATATGCCTAGCTAAAACTAAATGGCAGGAATTTGAAAACACCATACTCCATTTGTTATTACTAAAAATCTAAATTGAGTGTTAGATTTAGTTCAGAAGGTAACAATAGGATTCTTTTATTCCACCACTGGATGTTTCTATTTCAGTTGATGAATGCTGCAATCAGAGAAAGTCAATACACACCTAATTTTAATACAGTAGAATTATGTTTCCAATTTGGAAACATCCAAGAAAGTAGGGTACACCTGGAATCAGATCAATTCCACATGGCATGCAGAAAGGGGTAAAGAGAATGTATGACTTGCTTTTTCATACCTAATATGAAGTACAAAGAGGAACCTTGTACATCTCCCACTAGGGTATGTGTTTATATGTTTCAGGCACAGAGATGATTCACATGCTAAATGATGCATGATGTGATGGAATATGCACCTGGAAAAGCAGTGGGGAGAGCTTTGGCAACACAGAGCTTTCCCAGAGAGGAGCCCTGATTAAGAGACTGCACAGTCCTAAGCGGGATGGGGGTGGGAAGAAGAGCTTCAATATAACCACACCCTAGAATCTCTCAGTATATACTATATACAGTAGGTTAAAAAGTTATAGCTTTAGTTGGCAAGATTCTGTCCATTAGGTGTAAGCAAATAAAGGACTGGACTAAATTGGATCTTGCGGTGTCATCTTTGGGCTTAGACCTAACACACATATTGTTGGCCAGATTAAGTATATGTCGTTTATGTCCAGATGTTGATTCCCAGAATTATTTCTAAGAATTAAAATATGTGGAAAAATGTTTTGAATGGCAACCACTCAGACTACTGCCTTTGTTAATTACATACTCATTGCACAGAAAACAGTTTTTTTTCTACTGTAAACAACATACAATGTATACAAGTACTAATGTTATGTCTGGATGTAGTTTGGTGAGACTTAACTCAGACAACCATGTATAATTCTTTGGTTATGTATTGTTTAATGCATTTTTAATATTGTATGTGTTCATGGTGTTGGGCAGCCTTACAGATTTGATAAATTTATTGTGACACAGTAGATTTCATTACCGGAGGGTTTTTTGGGGATATTTTAAATAATTTCTGTCATAGAATTAAAACTGAATTCTGGCTGAATAGAATTTGAGTCTAGGAAATTGTTAGTGTGAACTACTAGCCAACTTTTTAATCTTTAGGCAATACCATTCTCATGAAGCGACAGCATAGTTTAATTAAAATTGGTTGCAAGCTCCTTTTCTGATTAAAAATTCAGCACCATCATAGAAATTGGCTGCAGCCTGAATTCTTTAATATTCTGGTTAATGCAGAGAATGTATATATAGTGATCTCCTTGGCAAACTATCAAAGCTATTTTGTGATTTTTACTTTCAGTAAACATGTGTGAACATATGGAAGGTTCGTCTGCCAATCTGATTTTTGATAATAAGGCCAACTTCCTTTAATCTTGCTATTTTGAATTTTCATTTAATTTTAAAAATAACTGACTAATTATTTCTGTTCTTATCCTCAATCCAATTGTCACGAGATTGTGGTTTCAGGGTTACACAATATACCTCATTATTAATTTTCCACATTACAACAGCCAGTTTAAAATTCAAAATGTTGGTTATAACTATGGGAGTTCTTTAAAAAAAAAAAAAGGATCCTGTCTCTGTGATGGAATCACCAAATGAAGGAAAGGGCCTTTCTAGGGAAGTAAAGAGACATTCCAGCTTGGAGTCAGTTTGGGAGAGGAAATGTCTTGAGGTCAGACCTTCAGGTCTATATCTGCCATTTCCAAGAGAAGGCCCACAGTCTGGCGAGATTCTTGTAACATAGATGATCAACAATAAAATATCTATTTGGGCCTATTCATGAGTGGTTCTGAAGGCTTGCGCCTGACAAGATCCAAGATCAGGGTTGGGTTCTACTTACCTTTATTACTGGTTTGCAACGGGGCTGCGCACACTCTTCTGCGCATGCGCAGAAGCATGCTGATGACGTTGGGGTCGGTGGGCGGAGCCTCCCGATGGTTTTACTACTGGTTCTATAGAACTGATGCGAACCTGGGGCAACCCACCACTGATCCAGATCCACATAAACAGTTTTGTCATGTATAAAATCTATGGGGAAATAGACAGAGAGATTAAATAGGGAACAGATTAAAGAAAAAAAAATTGAGGTATGGATTCAGTTGAAATACTAAAGTGAATCAAGGAAAATAACAATTACAACAGAAGATTACTTATCCTGCTTATAGATAATCAAACCATAAAAGTGAACAACCATAATAATATATCTCATTTCCATTTGTTTAGACCCAGAACTCCATAAAGGTGTTCTACTGGGGGAGCAAGTCTGTGTGTGTATAAAGCATTAATTGCTTCTTTTCGTGCCCTCAGGTGACTTTTACCTGATCCTGCATAACCTTTCATAAATACCTTTCATGAATTGAGCTGGCACATGTTCTACTATACATCATATTGTAATATATCAGTATATATATTTTCAATAATTCAATAATTACAGTTACTCTTATTTTCCAAAAATAATTCTTTTTTTTTTTTTTTGGATTTCCATTAATTGGTTCAATTCAGCAGTATGAAGATTACCAATACTTTACACAATCCTAATTTCGCTGGACTGTCTAAAGCATATTGAATTTCCTAGTATTAGATGCTCAAAATACTTAGTCGAAATCGCTAGTCTCAAGAGCAGAAATGAGGTTCTTACACTATATAAAGTGTACAGTCAAGCTTATAGTCAAAGACATTTGAATTTGGGCATTATATGCTTTTCTGCATTTTATTTTCATTGGACTACAGAGCTGGAGCTAAGATTTGGTAAAGGGGACTAATTGCAAGCTGCAGATACAATGGCTAATATAGCTATTGCTCTCCTAGCTAATATTCTTGTTAATTTGCTAAAGTATTATTGCTTCCCCCCCCCCAAGAATTTGATTCTACAGTTCCCTCTAGAATAACTGAATGTATTGGTTCAAGATAAGATGATAAGACAAGATAATAAGATGAACTAACCTTTATTGTCCTTATCCTATATATACAAAGGCACATATTAAAATGAAATTTTGATGCCCCGCTCTCGAAAGAAGAAACAACACCCAATGTCACCATCCAATTATTATAGAGAGAGCTTTACTGTAGGCTATTTCTAATATAGCCCTTGAGTACTGGGGATGAGGGACTTACTCTGTACCACTTCATATAGTAATGAAATGTACCAGGATATTCTACAGTAGGTCATTCTGATCTCTTCCATTGCCCCCAGCACTGCACATCCACATTTTACTGCTCTTACACTGATTTATAGACTCACCATAACATTTGCTTTTAGTGTAGTTTTGTTCCTTTAAAAAAATGCTGCAATGTGTACTATAAATTTTTCTTTCACTGGCAACACACACACAGAGACAGACAGACACAGACAGATAGACACAGACAGACAGACAGACAGACAGAGGCAGTTTGGTTTTACTTGTATTAGAGATTTAAAGGGAGCATGATTCAATTCAAATTTCTGATTTGAGGGCAAATTGATTCACACTGCTTTGAGATGCAAAATGTGATTCATAAAAAGAATTTGTCCATAGCCTATAATCAGGAAACATCAGAGTGCCTGCAGCTGTTACATTTTTTGACAGAATGGAGCGGAGAGAGCTGAGATGGTAGACTCTTTAGAAAACAGTAGGTCTGTCTAGTTCCAGCTGGATTTCTTCAAGGGTTTTGCCATAATACTGTAACTATTCCTTTTTTGTTGTTTTTTGTTTTAATGGGATGGCTCAATTGAAGCTATGTTGAACTGAAGCATTCCTTTGAAGATTTGTACAACCTAATATTTTTATCAAATTATTACCAGTGCAAAAACACAGTTATCTACAGATGCATATTTTTCAGTAGAAAACATTTACTTATTCTGACAGCAGAAAGGATTGATGTAACCACAAAAACAGTATCTTTTTGGATGAAAATCCATATACTTGAATCTATTTTAGAAAGTTCTAAT